CACGAAAACTGGGTACCGAATTACCCGAACAGGCCAACCAGGCCCATTCATATAGCATTTTCACATAGTTGACTATCCACGCAGTCGACTTAACTCGCCAGAACAAAAAGCACGATTACCGTTAATACGACAGGCCAAAGCCTGGATCCACGAAACGTTTACGGGTCCCAAAGCACCCGGCCAACATCGATACATTATTCGTCACAGCTAAATTGGCTATACACGTGACTTCAGAACAGTTCTATTCAGAACATGTCCTAAAGTCAGGGGCCTACTGTTAATACCCAATTTTGGCCTCGCCTATTAAAATATTACACATGGATATATATTATATCATATCAATTGTCTTATTTTAAGGCCCACAAATAACACCGCTTGTAATAATAACGGGCCCACCAAAATATATATATAAACCCCAATGATGGACGTCAGATAGATAAGTCTGAGGGGCTATTATTACTTTTTCTCTGAGAATCCTCAATTTCTTTCCTGGAGACGAAGAAAACTTATTGACAGAAATTGAGTTTCTTCTTCAATTTCTCTGTATTGATTTTCACAAAAATTACACAAATATTCAACAGAAATCCATATAAATCCAATCTTCTGAATACTCCATGTTGATACAAAATCGCATATCAACACGTAACAAGAGGGTAACATAGACGGTAAATCACACCAATCACACAACACATAGACAATACGTTTCCGAACAAGCCTATTTCATACGAGCCGAGATCGATCAACTCCTCCCCTTTCGGTTCTAAGAGTCGATTAAATTATCCTAGATGATTGTTAATCTACTAGACCATTGGATTTAAAAACATCACACAAGAATGGATCGTATTCAATTGAAAATCAATAGCGAATCGAAGTGTCACTCTTCGATAATATTCAACATTCAATGCACGGTAATTGTAAACCCTAGTTAAGAACAACTCGCATAATTGAACGATCAACAAGCATGATAATCACAATCAAATTCTAAACATCATCATCATCCCTTGTCCCTAGCGAAACGAATTAGCTACTCATGTAGAATTCAACACAATCCATCTCAAGAACCGAAGCATTCATATTTAAGGATTAAATGAAAAGGAAAACTCACGATTAATAGAGAACCGAGATTCGAATCCAGTGATCAAGAATAAAAGTTGAGCAAAAACAAGGATCAAAATCTAAGTTATTGGGTAGGAGAAAGAGGAAAAACGTAATTGGGGATTATCTATCAAGTCTAGGGGTCATTCCAATATATAGGGCTCGAAAAATTGAGAAAAAACATAGAAAATAAAAACAGGGCTGACTGGGTCGCGACTCGCGAGTTGCGAGTTG